CTCAAATTTCCAAGCTCGAGCTCAACAATATAGCAAACGAGTTGAGTTTGATTAGCTCAAAGCTCGACTCAACTCGACTCGACCTCGGCTCGGCTCGGTTCATTACACCCCTACAAAACTAGATATAAATAGCACTTTAACAACTCCACTCAATAACATAAGAGAGATTTGGAAGCAAAATGCCACTTTACTTGTCATTATGAAAGGTCTTATCAAACCCATCTCATTGATTAATGCCCTTTCGACAAAATAATTTAGGAGATTTATTTCTATAACGAAATTAATGAAAAAGATCTCAGAAGATCCACACAAGCGTCACCACGAAAAGAATTGTGCTACCAAAACTTGATTAGTTGATTATCAGTTTATCACTCTCTTGTTCTTCCTTAATGGGCACTAAACCAACTTGCACGCTAATTTCATTTCATGCCAAAATTTAGCCTTGCGATTAATTAGTAGCCATATTTTCTTCTTTAAATGCCTTTTTTTTTTTACTAACAAAAACCAGTTTTGTTTTTTAATCAAACACTTTTTTTTTTTTAATATTGAAATATTGTATATATAAATTAAAATTTTTGATTATATGCTTTTTCGGTGTTATGCTTGAAAAACAATTAAGAAAACATAAGAGATCTTGAAAATACTAATGTTTGTATTTAGAAAACAAGATCTTGAAAATAGACAAAACTCTTCTACTTTTATTTTATTTTATTTTTAAAACATAAAGTGCATTTTCCTGTTTTTGCTTTAATAAGCACTAAACAAGAATATTTGACTAAAATAATGCAATTACTCTCAACAACTCTTCATCTATCTTAATCTAATGATTTGGAAAGTTTTAAAACCAGCAATATTAATAAATACTATTACTTTTTGGATCAAAATCTAATTACTGAATAAAATACATGAACTATCTACTCCATTTTATTAAGTCAATTTTTAAATAACAAGATCTCAAAAAACCCTGTTGACCTTTATATCTTTTAATTTTCCAAGAATAAATAAAATCCTGCAATTGCATGCATGAACTCATCAAATGGATCGAAGAAGCTCATTTTACGAGAATTAATTGATGGCTGAAACAGGATACAAGAGTGTTAATAAAATTAGAAAAATGTTTTGTTTACAATCTAATCTCACAACTTTCTCTTACAATTATAATGTCTCACAACTTTCTCTTACAACTATAATGTATCAGTAGATTGATATTATCATGTCAGCTCACACTATACCCAAGACACCCAATATTATAAAAGAGTCAATTATTATATTAGTAACCACAAATAATAAACATATTGAATATGAAAACAATATAACTAAATGTCAATAAAATAATAATACAATAAAATTAACAATACCAATAACGTGATCACATGTAAGAGATCCTTCAGAATAATAGAAAGAGATTCGGTAAAGAATACAATCTTAGGATGAATGCTGAGGCCTATGTAATACACAATTTCCTTAAAACAGATTTGCCTCATTCACTTAGTGCATAAGGATTTGAGCAGCATCTGTTTCCTAAGATACAACGACAGATGAATAGTAAGAGAAGCACCACTCTTCTATTCTAACAAGCTGAATTAAACCTTAACTCCAACAAAGGAAAACTTTAACTGGAGAGAAAATAAGAGATTGAAAGAATTTTCAATTTTTGTGTGTTAAGAATGAGAGGAAAAATACCTTTTTATACTACTCAAAGTGGGACAAAACATTCAATTCCACCATTATTTTCAACCTTTTTACTTCCAACTTTAAAACCTCTTCCATTAATCCACTAACCTTTTACCTTTCAAATTCCCAACTTATATCACCACATCTCATTTCATTCAATTTAACTAATAAATTCCAACACCTAATGCACTACGAAAAACGAACGGTCATTCCCTATAAAGGAATGACCGTGTTCCTTATGAAGGAACAATTATTCTTTCTTATGAAAGAACAACTATTCCTTCATAAGGAATGACTATTCCTTGAGGAACAATTATTCCTCATGACTATTTCTTCATAAGAAATTACTATTTCTTTTACAATGAATGATTGTTCTTTCATAAGGAATAACCGTTCCCTATAAAGGAACGACTGAACTATAAAGGAACAACTATTCCTTATGATTGTTCTTTCATAAGGAATGACTATTCCTTTCACAAGAAGTGATTGTTTCTTCATAAGGAACAACAGTTCCCTATGAAGGAATGATCTTTTCTTTGGTTTAGTCAAAATTATTTTGTGTCTTGGGTGTGGTGAAGTTAACTTGACAGTGCTAACTTAACTGCTACGTTAAGGTTATAAGAGAAGTTTGTGAGAATAGGTTGTAAGCATAACATTACTCATAAAATTAATCCTTTAAGCTGTGTGTGCATGTATCTGATAATTAAAAAAAAAAAAAAAAATCCAAAAGTAAGAAAGGGTAAAATAAAGTAAAAGAAAATCGAAAGAAAACAAAAAACATCACTAACACTAGAAGATTTAGATATTGTTTTAGAATCATGATTCTGCATTATCAACAGTGATGATTTGTGGTAGTAATGGTTGTGGTGACTATCATTATAATAAAGATATATATATATATATATATATATATAATTGTTATTGTTACACTGCATTTTCAGCCTTCTACGAATGCTTAATCAGAGTTCAACACATGGCTGTGGTTTCATGGTTTGGAAGAGATCAAAGTATTGGAAATGCCTTTAGAATCTTTTGTATTCAACCAAGCTGTTATGTGTTCATAATTAATTGTTAATTAATTAATTTAATTAAAATCTTTGAGGGTCAACCAGCTCATCTAATTGATACTGTTTAAGCCTAATCCTCCACCTTTATGCAGTCAAAATCATATCAAAAAAATTTCTTTAATAATACTAGGAGTGCATGGATGATTTTTGAAGATTTTATACACTTGAACCCAACAACAATCTCTTAGTAAAATTACGAATTCAGTCATAAAATCAGTGAATTATTAAAGTTATTGGTTTCAACTAAGATATTTAAAGGTTGAAATCTGACATATTTTATATTATAAGTTTCTTGACTACAAAGTTATGAATATAATTTTTAATTTAAAGGTCGACGAATGTAAAGAAAGAAGATTGAGAGATTTATGACATAAAAAATTTACCATTTAGATATTAACCCAGGGAATTACGTACTTTTATTCTTCTACGCAATAATAAATTGAAGTTTAGATAAACTTACAAAATTTATATTCTTTTATGAACTAAACCAAATGATGTTTTTAGGAATATAGAATTTAACAATCTCTGGATGACCAAGTGATTTGATAGACTCTTGGGTATATTATTAAAGAGGTCTTGAGTTCGAATCCTTCTTCTATTCTTAATAGGGATAGTCATTAAAATTCTTATACGACCGATAGTACAGGGTCTTAAGAGATTAGTTAAGGTGCACGTAAGCTGACCTGTACATCTCGATCATATATATATATATAATTGGGTACCAATTTCAGTGCTGGGAAATTATAGTTTTTCTTGGCTTGAAAAGATTTTAATTTATGGATTGAAGAAAAAGGTTCAAAAGAGAATAAATTACGTTTATTGTTCGTTTAAATAGAAGCTACAAATTTATTATTAGTGCCCAAATTGTAGATGCATCACCTCTTGAACAAGACATGTTTAATGGAAACCATGGTCTGTATTATTTTTATATAATTTGGTATTGAGATATAAAATATTCGGGACAGCATCTTCGCCACGCAATCCCAATTTAATTAAAACCTCTTTCTGTACGGTCAGCAAGAAATTAAATCAAAAGCCTCCAAAATTAGAGTAAGAATACAGTCTTAACCATACCTTAATTATCTCTTTCCGTCATCAATTTGATGTTTCACATCATAATTTATTCACATTTTTTTCTATTTCTTTTACGTTTCTTACCCAACAACAAACTCCCTAGTATTATTGACAAATCCGAAAGTAAGTTCCTGTCAGCAAATTAAGGATGCATATGGTTTTTATTTTTCTTTATAATAAAAAATAGAGTAAATGATTTTTTTCCCACCCAAATAATAGTTTAATGACATTTTTTCACCCACAAACTTTTAAATAACTACTTTATTATCCAAATTTATATTCCATTTCTGATTTCGGCGTCGTTATGACACCATATCACCACCATTTTCTTCCATGATTATCACTTACTAAAATCTCTCAAACCCTATTTTTACTAACCCTGCCAATCATTGGTAATCGAGTGATTAGGGTTTGCGCTACCGTCTTTCCCAAGTCAAATTTCGATTGATCCCAACCACCAAAATCTAATCTTCCACCACCAAAAGACTCAACGACTTCTCATCTTCAAAAGCCCTAACAACCTAGACCAAGTTTACTTTTAGTTCGTCACCGGAATATAAATTTGGATAGTAAAATGACATTTTAAAAGTATGTGAGTAAAAAAGTGTCATTAATCCATTATTTGGGTGACAAAAAGTCGTTTACTCTAAAAAATAAATAAAAAAAACTTGAATGGGCAATTAGAATTTAGAATCATTCTAATCCCTTTTGAAGCCATCATATTTCACTTTAAAATAAAAATAAAAAACATAGTTAATTTGTTCAAACAAATAGTTGAAACCTAATCTAAGATATATTTTCTCTTATTTAAGGTTTGGTAGAGGAATAGAATTGTATAGGATTATAAATGCTTAATAAAAGAAACTCCAAATTTAAAATAAAATTATAGAAATTTGCATCTAAGAATTTTTTTATATATAGTAAGATTAATTTATAGGTTGTATAAAGGGTTGGGTTTACTAAAGTGAACCAAGCTGTAATTAACTCAGGTTATAAGCACAGGGGGAGCGGGGAGTTAGTGAGGAAGAGTTTTAAACCAAAGTGTTTATTAGGGTAATATAGTCTATAATGATTGCTTTGATGATGGAAGCGCAATTATAATATATAGAAAAAGGTAATAGTTAATGCTAATAGTACAATTAAAGGAAGAAAATAATGTAATAGCAAGAAAAAAGAGAGAGCTAAAGCAATTTGATAGGCCCCATTTCATGTCTCCTCATTAGCCCCATGATGTGATCTTCATTTTGTCCTCTCAATTCAATTACTCTCTCTTCCCTTCCCCTTTATTTCTCTCCCCAATTAAGATTCTTTTCCTCAAATTCATTCATGTTGCAGAACAAGTACCACTGATCGATGTCTAGTAACAAAGGAAAAGATGTTGCAGAAGGATCGTCTTCAAGATCCACTGCTGATCACCATAATCAACTAACTAATACTGCCGCTCCACCTCCTCTCAGCCGCTATGAGTCTCAAAAGAGGCGGGATTGGAACACTTTTGGGCAGTACTTGAGGAACCAGCGCCCTCCGGTGGCTCTTTCCCAGTGCAATTCCAATCACGTGCTTGATTTTCTTCGGTATCTTGACCAATTCGGGAAGACTAAGGTGCACTTACAGGGGTGCGTGTTTTTTGGTCAGCCTGAGCCACCGGGTCCTTGTTCTTGCCCGCTTAAACAAGCTTGGGGGAGCCTTGACGCTCTCATCGGCAGGCTTCGAGCGGCATACGAAGAGAACGGTGGCTTGCCGGAGACGAACCCGTTTGCAAGCGGAGGTATTCGGCTTTATTTGCGTGAAGTGAGGGACTCTCAAGCTAAGGCTAGAGGAATTCCATATAAGAAGAAAAAGAAGAAGAGGGTCATGACGACGACAATGAAGCCAAACGATGAGACTTCAAATTTTCCTATGCAATAAACTTGGTTCCTATTGCTTTTCCTATAGGAAAATGGTAACTTTTATTTCTTTGTTACATGATTATTAGTCCTTCTTCTTCTTCTAATTATTTCAAGTTAGATCCATCAAATAGGATGAGATTTGATTCATGAAATATTAATTATACAACAAAACAAACATTTAATTAATCATCAAACTCAACTATATGAATTCATGGTCTGCCCAGAATGATTTGTTGAAGCAATTGAAGTGGAAGAAAATGGTTGACCAGTTTTCATACATAATTTTTACATTGGAATTCAGGCCCCATCTCTCATTTCCTTTCATAATAAACCCTAGTCCAAAGGCCTCAAAAACCCTAATCTGTAGAGTAATTACTTTAATAGAAAAGACATAACAACTGTTTAAGTTACTCACTTTACCTTACCATTTTTAACAAACATTAGATATGCCATGAAAATCGAAGGATCTCCACCGCCCCCTCTCCCTCTCTTCCTCTCTTTGTCTCTCTCTTTCTTTCATACACAGACTTGAAATTTCACATAATTTTGTGGTTAATTTCTCAATTTAATATATCTCCTACAAACATGTTTGCTTTTCTTTAGTCTCTCCTACCTCTTTTGAGATTCCAGCATGATCTTGTGCCCGCCATGAATGGAGATAACATTGTATATAATGTTATCCTCTTCACAATATTATGAAAATTAAATTAGTTAATGGCTGAAGAAGATCTCGGGTAAGTGGGATAAACCAAATATCGCTTATTCAGCATTTTACATCAGCTACTCCTAAGATCTTACACCTATATATATATATATATATATATATATACAACCTGCAGGGATATTAATTAAATCTGATTATCTGTCTCTAATTATTTATAGTACTTTTTTTTATATATCTTTTATTTTTTTAATTAATTTAATTTCCATTAATTATGTGAATGTCCCTTTCCTTGTTAATTAATGTTATATGTAATTGACCTTTGTATAGAATCAAATTTGTCTTTTGTTTGCATTACAGAAGTGCTAATTAATGGCATTTTATTATATATTATTATTCAACCCACAAATGCTTTGCAGCTAATAATGTAGGGAGCGTTTGGACAAAGTTCGTTATGATTGATCAGACTGTATACAATATCTTGTTTATACATATTTGAAGCAATATGACAAAATCACTAGAATTAAGATTCCTAAATATACACATTTGTTTCAAAATTCCAAAATATTAGAATTAAGATTTCTAAATCTCTCTTATTTTGTATACAATTAACTTCATTTCTTGTTCTAATTGATTTCAGGCCTTTTCAAAAGCTCCAAGTATTGATTCAGCAATCATGTTCTGGAGCTCTATCGGACTGCAAACAAGTCTTCTTGGATGAAGTTCTTGAAGTACTACATCTTTATAGTTGAAGCAATCTAGCTATTAAGTTATCAGAATTAAAGCATGAAGTAATATATGGATCGAGATGGTGAAGGCAACAACCGAGTTAAGCTGAAGTCAGTAAGTTCCTTTCCTTTTTCCTCTCTTCCCTTTGATCTTCTGAATCATAATATTATCAAACATATATACATATATATAGTCAAGTTTGTTGCCCACAAACAATCTCCAAAAATATGTAAATTTATACTGCAGTTATGTTTCCGGATCTTTTAAACTTACAATATTGTGAAATTTTATGCAAGTATTCAGTATGATCTACTAGGTTGTTCAATGATCACACGTTTGTTTGTGAAAATTATCATAGAAGGAAAAGTTTTTGGGGGCCAAATGCCAACAAAATTCTGAGTCATTAAACATCTATTATATGTTTGTTTAAGAGTTTTAAATATTAATAAAACAGAAAGGCACCATCAGGATTGTCGAGACATCTAGTATTAGTTTCTTTAGATCATCCTATGTAAGTATCCCCCACTGAGACAATTTTTTTGTTTGTCCCACATCTTCATCTTCATAATGTCTTTTGGTTTAAGTTTCCATAGGATTCCTCTTCTTATTCTCAGTAGTAATTACATTAATATATACTTTTGTGTTGACCTATTTTTTCTTCATTATTTACTATACTTTAACCTCTTTTTACATTAACATTTGATTACTCCTGATTTTTCAATCAAACTTACAAATTGAAACTGAACTCTATGCCTTCTTTTTTGTAAATAAGATTTGATTTTAAAGCCTTTTTTTGTGGTAATTAATCTTTAAATAAAAAGAGAAAAAAAATATACAAACAGGTTTATAAAGACGACTAGTCTACCACAGAACAAACCCTTGAGATAAGATCAAAAACAAAATTCTAACCAAGATAAAAGAGTTACACAAAATACTCTCTTTCAATGCATATCCTATCACAAGACAATCCCTGTGTTAGGATGAAAACAAAAGTCTATACAAGATCGTATTAAAAACATACACAAGACAACTATCACCAAAACAGAGCCAACCAACAAAAAATCACCCTTTAAAGCCTCTTTTGCAACTCTAATAAATTAAACTAATTAGTGTTCACATGCTATATTGATAATTTCAGGACTCTATTAAACTTTTTATCTTTTCATTCCTATATATACTATATATGTTCCAAAACAATTAATCGAACTATGGATTGTTTTATTTGCTTATATTACGAGTTATCTTAACGTGTATTTCTAAAGTTAGTACATATAAGAAAAAGACAAAAAAAGTAAATACAACTAATTTTGATTGTTTTTGTTAAGTTACCTTCCCATCTAAAAGGTTAAGCTTGTAGGTGAGATGACTTAACATATATTAGATCAACAGTTCCTCTTTCATCAAAGTTGGATTGTTTTTTTTATTTTTTTTTTCTAGTTTATATGTGAGGATTCAAACTTGAGACATTTTGCTTTAATACCATGTTAAGTTGTCATCCCACCTAAAAACTTAAGTTATAGGTGAGGGCTCAATATATATTACACTGTTGTTTCTAATTTTTTCTTATGAACTCTTATAATAGGATCTTTTTCAAATCTACCTTTGAATAATGTTATATATCTTAAGTTTATATCTCAATTTTTATATATTATCTGAAGTGATTTGTCATTAATACGAATTTGTCATTTAGTTAAATATGATTATGATCTCACTATATTACTGGCCAAATCGATAATGGATAGATGTACCTACCATTTCCTCCAACATCCCAAAACCATTAGTATCATAAATTTGGGGTAATTTACTTTGAGAATCTCCTGTTCTTCTTGATTTCTATTATTGCAAAACATAGTAGAAGGGACTTGGCTTCAATTCTTCTTTTAGCTTCTCTGCCTTTCAAGGAAAAGACAGAGATCTAGGCCATTTAAAAGTATTATCAAAAGACTCGCTATCATAAATTTGTAGGTAAACGTGAACAGAACCCATTTTATACTTTGATGTTTATGCATTTTTGTTCTTCTATATATATATATTTGGATATATGATAAAAATTGAGCCACACATACCTAGATTGAAATCTTCATCCCTCCATCACAAAATGTATTAGATTAGTCGTCTTTTGTCGGATCCAATACGCAAATAGAGTCAAATGGATTGATCATTTCATCCATACTTACAAAAATGCATACATCATATACATATAAAACTAATTAATTATTCAATTACCTAATTAATATAGGGTCTTTAAAATATTTGATATCAGAAGTTTTGTTAATGAATAAAATTTTACATTTTCAATACAACTGAATCAGAAAAGTTATTTATTTATTCATGTTTCGATAGCTACAGTCCCTCTGATAAATGTCAAAGATGTCTGTTAAGTACATAGAACAGTTGGACATAAACATAATCCTGTCCGTAGGTGTAGATTTGGATGTTAAAGAAACATATAAATAAAATACTTAAAGTGAGACAAAGAGAATATGTGGGATTATCAAGAAAAAACTTAAAATAAAGAAAGTGGCATATTCCTGAAGCAAAATCTAAAGGGAAAAAAGTTCACATATAATAAGGTTGTCGAGACCAAATTTATAATAATCAAAGTATGTATATATTTTGAGCTTAAACATAGTACTTGAAGAAAAAAATAAAATTAAGTTGCAACAAAGTTTTTTTTTTTAATAGTGGCAGTAAGCTTTGATCAGGTTGGAGAGCATTTTCCTTATAACCAGGGAACAGTGATGGCCATGGCAGCCCAGCCCCACGCCAAGCTGCACGAAACCCTAAATTAAAATTGCTACAATTACTTGATCTAGATCATGTCCCACTTCTTAAAACACTTCTGACAAAAATCTATTAATTTTCTATCTTTTTGACCAAAAAAAAATTAAAGACGTTCTTAGTGAGTTGCTTCTCCCAATTTATGCTGCCACAACAATTGCCCGACCTCTTTATGTTTTCTTTTTCCTCTTTTTAAATTTCTTTTTTTTTTTTTTTTTTTTTTTACTCTTTGTTTTGTTCATTATAGTTGTACTAGGAATTTTGAAGAAGTGCTTTTAAAAACAATTCCAACAATATTGTTTAAATGTAATGGAGATCAATTATAAATTAATTAATAATTAAGATGAGGAAAGCACTTAAAATGATTTCTGGAAAAGCATATGTATATTGATGTCACCACCGAGTTCTTTTATAGAAAGCATTTTCATTCAACAAAGCACTTTACAGATTTGAAGTTGCCTCTGATCTTCGTCTGTTGATATCCATATATGACGAGCTTTCAGATGAATGTCAAGCAATATTCATTAATTTGAAACATCAAAATCATCATCCTTTTCTCTTTGTTTGAAAGTTTTCAGCAGTTTGATTTCAATGAGACTCTTCTTTGACTGTTTATAATAGATGATCATGTCTTAATTAACCTCAGCATTTAAGTTTTAGCACACTTGTATTTACTCAAACGTTTTAAACAAGAAGAAATATCTAAGTGATCAGATTTACCAGTTATCACTGTTATTTTCATGTTTTTATAATTATCAAACACCAGAATCCGACTAATTAAAAGTTAAACTTGCTTTGCCATAATTAATTTCACACTCAATGATAATAAATAAAATTAAGATCTCATAATCTAGTGTGTCTGTGTGTGCATTAATTAACCTTAAATTATAGTAAAGGTTATCAAATAATTTAACCCGTAACAGAGAATATACAGTTATTGTACGTACGTTTTATGTTACTGCATGTTACATGCATGCGCTTACTGCCTTACATGGAGAGAGAAGAATAATTACAAACTGCTTCAGCCAAATATAGCCTTATTTATTTCTTTTTTCCTTGCCTTACACAATATTTATAATACAGCATATCTATGCATGCTATTAATATTCAGTAATATGCATTAACTTTCATATATGAGTTTTGAAATTAATAATTTAAAAGCATAAAATACTGATCTAATTGACTTTAAACTCATGTCACAATTTACTGAAAATAAAATGGGGCATAATTCTTTTGTATTTAACTACATAAACACGATTTACCTCTTTGAAATTAAATAATCAAAACATATTATCTTTATCTTACCAAGCGAAATATATATGGTATCAAATTCAATTATGATGGAATTACTGTTACGGCCCAAATTCCTTATTTCTTAATTCGAAATTGAAGGCTGTTGGGTCTATAAAAACTAACCTTTCGCCACGAGTTAAAATCCAGAATAACAAAATGATTGTATTCCTGGTTATTCCACAATATGAAGTCATAGCAATAACAAAAGAAAGAGAAAGAGTAAAAATTTTAATACAGTCACCAGTTAAAAAGGATCTTGACAATCTAGAATAGTGCCTGGAAAAAAAAAAAGAAAAGTATCTGTTGCACTTTACAGAATGGTGGATGCCAATGGGCGATGGCTACCCCATCAAACTTGGCTCTAAACGTCAACATATGTTTCACCTTGATGGGCGACGGCTACCCAATCAAACTATGCTCTAAACGTCAGCGATATGTTTCACCTTGGCGCAGACTGATGTCATCTGATACAAGAAAGCATTATAATAGTTATAGTTTAATACTAGAAACCATGAAAGAAATGAAAAAGAAAAACGAGTTGGTGTAATATTCCACTTGATAGGCAAGAGAAAGACTTCATTGAGTAACATCCATTCTCTTTCTCACCTGGCCCTGAAGCATAACAACAAAGTATGCCTTATTTCTTTCTTTCTCAAACCTAATATTCCTAAGCATCCATGAATCAAGATATNTTTGAAGAAGTGCTTTTAAAAACAATTCCAACAATATTGTTTAAATGTAATAGAGATCAATTATAAATTAATTAATAATTAAGATGAGGAAAGCACTTAAAATGATTTCTGGAAAAGCATATGTATATTGATGTCACCACCGAGTTCTTTTATAGAAAGCATTTTCATTCAACAAAGCACTTTACAGATTTGAAGCTGCCTCTGATCTTCGTCTGTTGATATCCATTTATGACGAGCTTTCAGATGAATGTCAAGCAATATTCATTAATTTGAAACATCAAAATCATCATCCTTTTCTCTTTGTTTGAAAGTTTTCAGCAGTTTGATTTCAATGAGACTCTTCTTTGCCTGTTTATAGTAGATGATCATGTCTTAATTAACCTCAGCATTTGAGTTTTAGCACACTTGTATTTACTCAAACGTTTTAAACAAGAAGAAATATCTAAGTGATCAGATTTACCAGTTATCACTGTTATTTTCATGTTTTTATAATTATCAAACACCAGAATCCGACTAATTAAAAGTTAAACTTGCTTTGCCATAATTAATTTCACACTCAATGATAATAAATAAAATTAAGATCTCATAATCTAGTGTGCCTGTGTGTGCATTAATTAACCTTAAATTATAGTAAAGGTTATCAAATAATTTAACCCGTAACAGAGAATATACAGTTATTGTACGTACGTTTTATGTTACTGCATGTTACATGCATGCGCTTACTGCCTTACATGGAGAGAGAAGAATAATTACAAACTGCTTCAGCCAAATATAGCCTTATTTATTTCTTTTTTCCTTGCCTTACACAATATTTATAATACAGCATATCTATGCATGCTATTAATATTCAGTAATATGCATTAACTTTCATATATGAGTTTTGAAATTAATAATTTAAAAGCATAAAATACTGATCTAATTGACTTTAAACTCATGTCACAATTTACTGAAAATAAAATGGGGCATAATTCTTTTGTATTTAACTACATAAACACGATTTACCTCTTTGAAATTAAATAATCAAAACATATTATCTTTATCTTACCAAGCGAAATATATATGGTATCAAATTCAATTATGATGGAATTACTGTTACGGCCCAAATTCCTTATTTCTTAATTCGAAATTGAAGGCTGTTGGGTCTATAAAAACTAACCTTTCGCCACGAGTTAAAATCCAGAATAACAAAATGATTGTATTCCTGGTTATTCCACAATATGAAGTCATAGCAATAACAAAAGAAAGAGAAAGAGTAAAAATTTTAATACAGTCACCAGTTAAAAAGGATCTTGACAATCTAGAATAGTGCCTGGAAAAAAAAAAAGAAAAGTATCTGTTGCACTTTACAGAATGGTGGATGCCAATGGGCGATGGCTACCCCATCAAACTGGGCTGTAAACGTCAACATATGTTTCACCTTGATGGGCGACGGCTACCCAATCAAACCATGCTCTAAACGTCAGCGATATGTTTCACCTTGGCGCAGATTGATGTCATCTGATACAAGAAAGCATTATAATAGATATAGTTTAATACTAGAAACCATGAAAGAAATGAAAAAGAAAAACGAGTTGGTGTAATATTCCACTTGATAGGCAAGAGAAAGACTTCATTGAGTAACATCCATTCTCTTTCTCACCTGGCCCTGAAGCATAACAACAAAGTATGCCTTATTTCTTTCTTTCTCAAACCTAATATTCCTAAGCATCCATGAATCAAGACAAAGTTATACATTCAATTTATTGTCCAGAAATCACTAGCCTTCACCCACATCAGAAGAAATCAAACTGTAGAGTTAACTTCATGACATAGTAAATGTTCTAAAATGAATGCAATGGCAACTACAAGACATCATATTCTGGAAGTTGAAAACTGAATGGATAACTGACACATAACAAGCGGAGAAAAAAAGAGACAAAACATAAACAATGAATCTGACATTTATATAAATTTTGATTGATGATAATGAGCAATGAACTTCACTTCCAATGAACTTGTATGGTTATCGAAGGGCCTCACCTGGATACCTGCAATATGAAATCCTTGGGATCCATACAAAGCCCCACAAAAATTCAACAAACAGTTCAAAGCACTTTGAAAAAGATGAGTATACATTAAGCTACTATACATTTAAAACTTTATGAGAACTGTTTGGTAGACAGCTCAGGTGCAATGTTGACCATATGAAAATAAAAAATTACTTATAATTAAACATGAAAAAGTTAAGTGGAGATTTAGGGTTATTTACCTCCATCACCACATTCATCTCAGTTAATAAGTCCCTCCTATACTGAGTATGAATTGCATAAGCTGGTGTGCACGACACAAAAATTCTGACCTGTCCTTGACAATGAGAATATGTTTGGAAAAGCAAGACCTGAATTACTCGGCTACTTTTTTTTTTTTTGCAAAAAGCTACTAATAAAAAATAAATAAATTTATTTCGTAAACAGTTACCACAAAGGAAAGTGTTTCGTCCATTGTCAACAATATGTGGATAGTGTTTCTAATAAAAACTGTTCGGCTGATTTTTTCAATTAATCAAAAGAATGCTACATTTCAATTAGCTAGACTAATGAACCAATTGCAAATTAAGGAGACCAAAGAGGCCTCATTACTAACACATGTAGAGAAATAGCAATAAGAGCAACTTCCCCAAATATTTTCTTGATTAGACACTACAAAGCCCTTCAAACATTTCAAAATCAGTGATAAGAAGAATTAATATATTAATTCATTTGTGAATATTTTGAATAAATGATACAAGAGAAAAGAACTAGTTAGCTCACCAAAAGCATTTACAAACTCTAGCTTTAATCTACCTCTCAAGAAAGTGTAAGTTAACAGTGATCATGCGGTCATCACAAAGGAAAAGGCTGTAACTTCACAGTGAACAGCCAATCTGTAAACAAAATTGCTGTCTTGTGCTTGATGATAAGTATGTCCTCAGACTACCAATTTAGACTCTTCCAGTGCACGATTTTGAGACGAGGAATCATACTTCAAGCTTTTCACAACCTCAAAGAAATGTGCAACAGCTTCTTCAGGTGTCCCAACTAGAACTCCATGTCCTAGATTAAGGATGTGCCCCTTTTGTCCGGCACACTTGACAACCCTGAAAAATGAAATTTATAATTGTGAGCACCTATGAAGGTAGTGAATTAAATGTCAAGTACTATCCTGAGCAGAAAGAAACAGCAAACTGATCTGCCAAGCCAATTGCATCTATGTCAAATGATACTCCAGTACTATTGTTCCTTTTGTCTGTGAATTAACAACAGCTATGCTGCATTAATATAATATTCACTATTTATGTAATGACAGTGTTTCAAAAGCCTTCAAATGTGGAACAATTAAGTCACTCCTGACTAGCAACCACCACAAAATATGAGAAGAATCTGGGTAAGAGCCTTAGGACTAGTTGCCAACAGATATGGAAAATGATAACTTGGTTACGGAAAAGAAGAATGAAATAATGAAGAAACAGCAGTGTAGAGTCCACAAGTCAAGACAAAGCAATAAGACAGCCTTAACAATGCTTCAAACTTCATGTTCAATCAACAAGAAGAGATAATGTGGAAGATTCCAGTAAAAGGTATACAGGAGGAATAAAGAAAGTAGTAGATAAGAGAAACCAAGAGAGCCAGAGGGGAGAGGAGAGAAATTTGGAGGAACCGTTAGTGAATTTTGAATGTCAGTCCATACTAACTAATCTCTAGCAAGATGCACTGTGAAATAGAAATTAAAAAACCTAAAAGATCCTAGCCAAAATTATTCTAGCTCATGGTGATTGCTTGCTATGTCACCAATGTAGTGTGGACATCCCTTACATCCTAGATGTAATAAACCCACATTAAAATATATATATCCCAGTAGGAAATTGAAATAATAAAGCTTCATTACCTTTGAATTTCATCTGTCAATGCAGGAAGAGGAGAGAATAAGTAAGCAGGGTCAACATTTCCCTGAACACCGATGTCATTGCCCAATCTTTTTCTCCCGTCCGCCATGTCAACTGTCCAGTCAAGCCCAATCACGTCAACACCAGTTCCTTTCATCCGCTCTAGGACGCCACCATTCCCATTAATGTACAGCACAAGCGGTGTGTCAGGGCATTTAGTTCTCACTAAACTGACAATCTGCATATTCAGAAACCCCAAACTAATTATTAGTTATCATACAATTTTCTAACGTATAAGCAGGACAAAAACATGCCAACAAAAAACGACTAGTAATAGAAAAGCTTGATATTTCAGGCTCACTATCTCATCCTTTGATCAAAAGGTTTTATATAGAGTTCCTATCTTGGTCCTCACGGAAGTCTATAATAATTTTATCAATAATATAAGATCACCCAGAAAAATTGAATAAGAGAGTGAGATGGTGCAACCAATTCAAGTAGAATAACACACATTGTAAAATAATATTAGAAAAAGAAATGTCACTGAAACTCCTTTATGAATAATCATTGCTTTACAATGATCAAACAATGTAGCTGTGACATCGAGCTGAGAAGAAGACAACTTTCTTGAGATTCAATAAAGCAGCTCCAACTTACCTCTTTAATATAAGGCTCTGACCAGAGCTCCCACATATGTGGTGGTAGTTGTCCACCCCATGAATCAAATATTTGTATGCAGTGAGCCCCAGACTCAACTTGAAAGATAATGTAGTCAGCTATTGCCTTTGTTAAATGAGAGAGAAGAGCCCTTATTATATGTGGTGCCTTATGGCACATACTCTTTATGGTTGTATATGTACGAGTTGTACCCCCTTCAACGATATATGTAGCAATTGTCCAAGGAGCTCCAACAAAACCCAAAACTGCAGCATAATCCCCGACCTACGTAAAAAGAACAACTTTGAGAGATATAATACAAATAACAGTAATATTTTCACCTCATTTTAGTCTGTGTGAAGGGGAAAAACAAAAAAGAAACAAGAAGAAAATTTACCTCCTTGCGCAAAATCTTCAAGGATTCCCCTACAAATTGAAGTTTCTCCAAGTCAATGGGATGTAATGCCTTTAAGTCTTCTTCCAAACGAATTGGTGATTCAATAACAGGTCCCTTCACTTCTTCTATGTTAAATGGGACACCAAATGCAGGTAGAGGAGTAAGAATGTCAGAGAATATGATAACTCCATCCGGATGGAAAGCTTCCCAAGGCTGCAAAGAAATTTGCACAATGAGATCAGTCGTCTCTGACCTCTCTCTGAAGGATGGTTGTTTTTCTGCAAGCTTTCTGTAAACAGCCATATACCTTCCTGCCTGGCGCATCATCCATGCAGGTGGTCGACTTACAGGATGTCCTTTTGCAGCCTTAACCAATAGCGGATCTATACAAAATATGAATAAGAGATATAATGACAGCAACTAAGAACAATTTATTTAAAATCACCAAATCCCAGGAACAATCAACTGAGATACTTACGCAATTCTTTGGCACATAACATTGCAAATTTTGGCAACCTTCATTGCACAAAGCCAAACCATTTCATGTGACCATGTCTCGTTCTTCCTCAATTGACAGAATAAGCCCACTTATATCTTAAATTCTGTTATGTTTCCACTTCTTCTATCAAATTCATTCCTAATTGGTTAAGAAATCTCTACTAGTGAGCACATCTAGACTTCCAAATAAACCTCTTAGAAAGCTGATGAATTTAATATGCAATATGTTGAAAAGCTAACAACTTTTCACAAGCAAAAATTACAGATGAATAAGCAATTCCTATAATTGAAAAGAAATATTAATTGGAGATAGAATTGAACATACCAGAAGAAGAGCATGACACAGTTAATCTCTTGACAGAAAATTTCGTCTTCTTAGAAGAAGAAAATAGAACCCCATTTAAAGAATTATAATGAAACCCTAACTGCACGAACGAGCTTCCTAAAGAACTGCACGCACTTCATACATACAACCGATTAGCATAGTCAGAACTAGAGCTAAAAAAAAAAAAATCTAAATAAAAATGAAAGACCAATAATAAAATGTACTTATAAAAAGAATGGAATGGTGAAATCACCTGGTTAAAGAAGAGAAGCTCATTCTTCAGTGTAGAGATTTGTTGAGAGAGGTTTTTGGTTTGCTGTTTTGCTCTCTGTTTTCTTATCTTTTCTTCGTTTTAGTTCAGGGTNGCTAAAAAAAAAAAATCTAAATAAAAATGAAAGACCAATAATAAAATGTACTTATAAAAAGAATGGAATGGTGAAATCACCTGGTTAAAGAAGAGAAGCTCATTCTTCAGTGTAGAGATTTGTTGAGAGAGGTTTTTGGTTTGCTGTTTTGCTCTCTGTTTTCTTATCTTTTCTTCGTTTTAGTTCAGGGTAGTGATTAGAAGGTTGACTTTGCGTTAGTATTCGAAGGGGACGGATCAGATTTTACCACGGTAGCACTCCTGGATAAAATAGGCCCCACATCTTCGTTATAGAAAGTAGATGTTACTTGTATTATGGATGGCATGTCGTTTCATTATCAACGACGCGTCGTTCAAAGACGAAATTAAATATTCTTTAGATGGTAAATATCCTTTAAGTCCAGAAAGATTGACGTATATACTTTATAGTATATAGGGGTTTTATTGATAATATAAAACACTCAGGGGGCACTGATACTGGTTGATATTTGACAAATGGACGGCAAGTCGTTTTCCCAAATCCTGACATGTCTATTCCATCAAAAACGACATGTCTGTAAGCTGTAAACAACACGAGGATTACATGCAAACGGCTTGTTGTCTCGTTTGGGACGACCTGTCCTACCTTTCTGACTTATATCAATTGCGCTCCCTCTGGTTCAATAAATACCAAAAAACCCCCAACATCACGAATCTTCGTGGACTTAAGTGACATATACCGTAGGTCAGAACGGGACGACATATTTACCTGAACAAGGACGTGTCATTTCGCTAAAAAATATATGTTCTGTTGAACAAACCAAATGCTGTGCATTCTATATTGTAAATCGTTTAATTAATATGTTTTTCTTAAAAATTCTCCTTCTAAATTTTATTCTAATTTCAAATCACATATAAATTTTCTGATTTATAATTCAAATTACCTTCTTTCACTTTTTCACAACAAAAAAAATATTTCACGTGGACTGATAGATTTTTATAATAATAAATCTATAATATTATTGAAATAACGTTATTTAAAAAAAATCAATTTAATTTTCACAATTTAAAAATAATTTAAACGTGAAAAACATAGGATAACTAATGAAAAGACATATGCACCAAAATAAAGAATAATCACTATTTGTTTGGTAATGGGAATTGGACAGTTCCTTAACTACCACTGTGTTGCTCCTATGATTTGGATACGAGTAAATTTTTCGCACCCAAAAAATGGCATAAGAACATTACATTTCTCACCCTCAAACTTTTAAAATACCACTTTAATACACAAACATTACATTTCATTAACAGTTTTCGTTACAAACAGTAGTATTCATTGTAAAGACAAAAATACCCTTAACTGTTTGATTTTAATTTTTTTTTTTTAATTACATGTCAAGAAATCCTCCTCTTTCTCTTTGTTCGACAAAGTAATATACAGCTTCAGCCAAACAACCAATTTATTGTCCTCTCCATTATTGGTATCTACAGATTCTCATCACCACCCACTGACCCTCTCGTGGTGTAGTATCTATCTTCCCTTCTACGGCGACGATGATTCTCGATTCTCATTTGAACCCGACCAGGGTATTGCAGCCTCAAATTCCTGTATCCAAACATAACAATTAAAAACCACTCAACACACATTCAAGCACAATCCTGTCAATCTCCATTGTTGTTGGTTTTGAAGAAGAAGCTAGTCATGAGCGCTATTATGAAAACCACTCAAACACATTCAAAAGTTCTTTCTTTTTTTTTTTTTTTTTTTTTTTTGCAGTTTCTCAGCAACCATACACAGAAAAACAAAGAAACAGCATACATATCACCAAAAAAAAAAAAAAAATAATAATAATAATAATAATAAAGTGAAAAAAAAATTGAAATCTAACATCTTGAACACAGATTATCCAAAATTGGATTTTTCTTTGTTTTTCAGGTGAATTTCTGACGTTAAAAGTTCAGAAATCTCTTTTCTCGCATGCTATTTTCTTCCGTTTCTCAGCAACCAAACAAAAAGGGTAAGAGAAAAACGCTTCAAATTTCACAAAACCTTTAACCAAATCAACACCGTAGAAACCAGAGTAACAAAACAAAACCACTCTGAAGTCGCTTCAAACCCTCTTTGTCCGCCGAAGAAACTGCGCCACAACAACCGAAAACCTTGTCGACAACACCTATAACTGAGCCAAAACTCCAAACTCGCCAACCACCAGTCTAACCCGTCAATGTAAGTCGCCGTTAACACTCAAACGCCGCCGAAAAAAACCGCCAGAATTGCCAGAAACGGGTCGAAATTCGCCAGAAGAAAACGCAAACGTCGCCTCTTCCAGAACATGCAACAAGTGGAATCACTTTTGCCTATCCGTTTTCCTTACTAAAGTCAAACTCCCTCGGCCACGTGTTATCTTCCCAGCTCTATGATTCCTCTCACTTTATTTTTAAAATCTGATTTCAGATGGAATGATAATTCTACCCTCGCTTATAACTATCTTTTTACCATTTTATCCTTCTTTACTTCGTAAATTACTAATGGATTTTTGCTTCGGATATTAAAAGGTCCGTTTGGTTTGTTATTTTGGATAGGATTTTAGAAATAATATTGGATAGTTGAATAGGGTGATTATTACGAGATAAAATTTAAAAATTAACAAAAAAACCCCATAAGTTTACTAATTTAACTAAAAACCCCAATGTATAATTTTTTTATAAAATGACAAAAACATCCCCATCCATCCACAGTGCCAAATTCCGGTCACTACCGTTGAAATCTGGCATTACGACGTAGACCAGTCGGATTTGACCGTACTTGCGTCGATCTGACCTTTTCCGTGGATCTAGCCAGAAAAGGTTAGATCAACGGCTAGATATGGCCGCCAATGGTCGCAAAATGTCAGATTTGGCCGTCAACTATGGTCGTCGTTGTCGATCAACGACGGCTAGATTGACGAATTACCAACCAATTCCGATCGTTTGTAGGCCATTGTGATAGATTTTGTCTACCACCGACGGTGGTTGCCAGAATCTGACAACTATGGGTGGGTGGAGGTATTTTTGTTAATTTTTAAACTTTTTTTGGGGTATTTAATGAAATTAATAACTTAAGGGGTCTAAAAGTAATTAAAAAAATATAATAGTATTTCCTAAATAATTAAACAAACAAATATTTTGGGAATAGGGTATGAAATAATAAACCAAATGCACTCAAAATAGTGTTTTAAAAGTTTGGGGACGAAAAGTGACGTTACGCCACTTTGGGTGGGAAACGTCGTTAACTCTTTCAAAACGTTTGAAAATATTTTTAACCTTAGAGATTGATGGATTATTAGATTTCCAAGTTCCAGTTCCCAGAAAACACCAATCTCTTAGATCAGTTGCACCATGTCCTGTTTTTCTTTTCGATTTTGCTTCTCTTTGACTATTATTTCAGAAATTTTGTTCATCACAGACCGACCCTCTGTAAGCATTCATTAATTTTCATATTGAACATTAGCAGGACCCTTTTGCTTCAAATATTTTCTTCTGCTCTTGACTTTGAACTCTAGCACAATCCTTTTATTATAGTTACTTTCATGCTTGGATCTATAAAAGACTCATAGTAACATGGATATTGCAAACAAAGAGAAAAAAGTAAACTCGCACCAGGAATTATCTGGCCTTTTCAATATCAATTCTTGATATATATCTGAAGATGGTTTATCAGTTGATGCTGATGTTTGGAGCACTTATAGCATCTATCCTGGGACTGCTTTTCTTGCAAAGTTGTACAAGAAAAAAGAAAAATGGAGATGTTTCAATGAAGATTCAGAGGAATATTGAGTGTTCCAAGAGATCAGAAAATGTAACACACCAAGCAGAGGTTGATGGAAGCACTGATATAATAATTGTTGGTGCTGGAGTTGCAGGTTCAGCTCTGGCTTATACTCTTGCCAAGGTAATGGCACTCTGCAAACTGAAATTGGTTATCTTGTTTTCAAAGACTAAGAATATGCTTTTTTTTTTTCTTTTATTCTAAACAACAATTTTTGTTGGATTTCTCTAAAATTCTGATTGATTGCAGGATGGTCGCCGAGTGCATGTGATTGAAAGAGACTTGACTGAACCTGACAGAATTGTTGGTGAACTCCTACGACCAGAAGGCTACCTCAAGTTGATAGAGTTGGGTCTCGAGGGTAAGCACATATTTAGCCATATCACTCTATCTTTGTCATCTCTTATGGCTACAACACCACTATTCTAATATGTGAAATATGTGTGTGGCTACAGATTGTGTGAATACGATTGATGCACAACAAGTGTTTGGATATGCTCTCTACAAAGACGGAAAAAGTAACAAAGTATCTTATCCATTGGAGAATTTCAATTCAGATGGGGCTGGAAGAAGTTTTCACAACGGCCGGTTCATTCAAAGAATGAGGGAAAAAGCTGCGTCCATATCCAAGTAAAGTTTTTCTCCTCTAACATTCATTTCAAATTGGTTTTCTCAACACTATTGCCAATCTCAGTGGTTTGAAAATTCTCCTGGCACTGATCAAGTTATAGAAATTCTAAGTTTGAGATAATTTCAATTACAAACATCTTGTTTAAATCAGTTTTCTTGTTTTCTGCAGTGTAAGATTGGAACAAGGAACTGTAACATCTCTGATTGAAGAAAAGGGGATTATTAAAGGGGTGACTTACAGAACCAAGACAGGTCAAGAGCTGACAACATATGCTCCCCTCACTGTAGTATGTGATGGCT